CCCCCTGGCAACCCGACCCCAAGGGTTCTGAATCCAGGGAGACCAAACGAGGACTAGGAAAGAGGCCCAATTCCTTGGCCCCTATGGTGGGCTGGGGGCAGAGCCTGTCCCACCTGGCCACCTCCTCAATCATGTCGTCCTCCTTCTCCGCATGCAAGGCGTCCACGATGCTGACCAGGCGAAGGATGACCCACTTCCGCAGCCGGAACACAGCTCGCTCAGGCCTGGCAGGTGGGAGCCAGGTTACTGATAAAGGGTACTGCTCTGCCCCACCTCGGAGACGGAAACTCCAAGGTCTCCCACCCCGACCACCAACACGGGAACACACGAGGAAACTCAGGCCTTCTGGGAGAGCTGCGGCTCAGCTCTGTCCCTCCCCTCCCCTCCCAGGGGCCGCCGTCCCATGGGAACGAGGGCCCAGCTCCTTGAGCTCTGCACGCCCACTCACCCATGCAGCGAAGCATCCTGGGCTTTCTTCTGGTTGCTGGTGCTGAAGTCCACCAGGGAGTCCAGGTCAGGCCGGAGAAACATGTTCCGTAGCCAGGCCACGTAGCCCTTCAGGGCACCGGGACTCAGGGACCGCACGACCCTCCAGAATGTGGGCAGGACAGGGAGGCCCTGGTTGGTGATGCAGGTGAAGGCCACCACCACAGCCAACTGCCGCTCGGGGTCATCCCGGCAGCCTTCCAGGAAGGTTCCCACGTACTCGTTCATCTCCGGAGCAAACTTGAACTGGTTTGGGAGCTGGGAGAGGCCAACACCGGGGTCACCAGCCAAGAGCGTCCAATGGCCCCTCCGGCCTCTTCCCCAACAGGTGAGACTGAGGCGTGGCAAAGCCCCCTGCCTCGTCCACAGCCAGGCCGAGCCCCTCCCCCACTGCAGCTCCCACCCTTCCACTGGGCATCACGGTGGGCTACCACCCATCCACTCCCACCCCAGGACAGGCTGGGTTCTAGGCTCAGGGAGACTCCGGGCTGGGCCATCAGCCCCCTTGACCAGCTCCTAGCTGTGTTACCGTGGGGCTCAGCGCCCAACACTTCCCAGGGGCGCACTGCGTGCCACGCACACCACGTGGCTTTGTGCGGCAGCAGGTTTCATCTTCACGACAACCCTTCACCCTGGACCCCTTCTGTCATCTTACAGATGAAAAAAAGATGGCAAATAAAAACTGGCCACTGACTTTTCAGGGCCACAGGGTTCCAAGTGGTGCCTCTGGGACACGGAGCTGTCGGCATGGCCACCCCGGCCCCGCTCCACCCAGAACACCCACACCCAGGAGCCCGCTGTGAGCGCTCCAGGGGCTCTGACCCGGTCATCTTCACAGAACCTCTGGCAAAGACGCCGGTCTCACGGAAGAGAGGCAGGCCTGGGGCCGGGGGGCAGCCCGGCTCCCAACCCTGAACTCCTAACCAGCACCTGATTCTCCCGTCCAGTGCATGGGGCCACGGACCAGGACGACTCTGCTCACTGGAACACACTGGCTGGGGGTGGGGGAGGGCTGGGCGGACCGCTGGCCACACACGCCTCTGCTGAGGGGCCTGAGGCCAGAAGGACTGACCCTGCCAAACTCCACTCGGAGGGGAAGGGTGGGGGGGACCCAGAGGGAAGGGACACCCAGTTCCCCAGCAGGACCACCGAGGCAGGAAGACCCGGGGTGCTGCAGCCAAGAGCAAGCCTCTTCTCAAGAAGCTGGCTGACCCGAGAGGTAGCCTGTCCCTCCTGGCAGTGCTGGGGGGGGGGGGGGGGGGAGTACCCACCTTAGCGGTGACCGTGTGCTCCCCAAAGTGCCGGATCAGGTCCCCCTGCATCACCAGGGCCAGCTGCTCCTTGGACAGCAGAGGCAGCGCCGCGCCCAGCAGGCGGAAGCACAGGTAGCTGAGGGGTGCGTGGCAGAGGCTGGTCAGAGGCCTGGCCGTGCTGGGTGCACTCGGGGTCCGAGCCCGCCCCACCACCAAGCGGGGGAGGGGGGGCAGAGGGCCAGGGCCCCGCGCACCTGGCGGGCCAGAACTGCTTCTTCAGCAGCCCCTGCTCCACAACTTCCTTCCAGAACCGGGGGAACCTGCCCTCCTGCAGCGACAGGCGGAGCAGGTCCAGGGCCACGGCGGGCAGCTTGCGCTCCTTCTTCACAGAAGAAGCTGCTGTCTTCAGGACACTCACCAGTCTGGGGAGGGGGCAGAGGGGACTCAGGGGGCGTGGGCCAACCAGACAGCAGGGTCCCTGGGGGAGCCCATCCTCCCACCTCCCTCACACCTGGGGATGTTCTCATCTGAGAACAAGTTGACTGGTCCCATCAGCTCCTTGAGCTTCTCCGGCACCTTCTGCTGGGCCAAGAGGAAGAGCTCCAGGTGCTCAGGGGAGCCCAGCACTGAATTCAAGTCCGCCTTGAGGACTTTCGGCAGGATCGCCTGCAATGTGGCTTCTGGGACCTGGGGTGAGGACACAGGTTGGGGGAGGGTCGCTCCCTCCCAGCATCCTGTGCCACTTCCCCTGTGAAGTGAGCCCTATGGGCCCTATTCCACCTACAAGGCTTCTGTGAGGCCCTGACACAGTGCCAGTCTGAGGCGGGACAGCCACCATCCACCCTGCTAGGCACCAGAATCATCAACAGGTGTTTGTTAAAAAGCTCACCCCACCTCCAGTCCTGGGAACCTGGATTTTTAGTAACTAGCCCACTGACACTAATTAGCTACCCTTTTAATTATTCTTTTGGTTTTTTCAAGACTAATTCATTTTCTTCTAAGATTTATTTATCAGAGAGAGCGACAGAGAGCAAACATGAGCAGAGGAAGGAATAGAAAAAGAGGAAGAAACAGGCTCCCCACTGAGCAGGAAGCCTGACATGCGGCTCCATCCCAGGACCCTGAGCCGAAGGCAGATGCTTAACCACCTTAGCCACCCCGGTGCCCCAAGGGACTAGTTCATTTCTTATACAAGGTGCCCCAGTGGAGAGCTGGGATTTGAATTCAGGTCCTTGCTTCTTCCTCAAGAGCAAAGGGTTCTAGGTACTAGCCCACCTCCATTTCCCAAGCAGGGCAGCGGGGCCCTGGGGGGTCAGCTCTGTCCAAAACAACAATGGCAAATGTGTTTTGTATGCTTGCCACGTGACAGGTGCTATTCTAAAACTGTGCCGTCCAATATGGCAGCCGCTGAGCTCTTGGAATGCGCTAATCTCAGTGGAGGTGGGCCCTAAATACAAAATACACACTGGATTCTAGTGACTCGATGTGAGCACAACATAAAAACACCTCTGCAAACTTTTACACCGATTGTGTGCTCAAACTTTACTTCAAGTATGTCAGGCTAAATACCTTCCTACAGAATGATGCTACTCTGGAGCATTTACGTCTTCCCTGCTCTCTCAGCATTTCTACCTGAAGCCCCACACTGGTAAGCCTGTACCTCAGAGAGGATGTCCACCAGGGCCTTCTGGGGCTGTTCCTGCAAGTGGTTGTAGTGCTGGGCCAGGGTCTGCAGCAGCTTTATTGACTTCATCAGTGCCTCTGAGTCCTGGTGCCCACGGAGGGAAGAAGATTATGAGCAGGGCATGCCACTGTCCCCCCACGGCCAAGCCCAGCCACATACCCCCTGACCTCAAAGCTCTTACCTTCACTAGCCTGCCTGACTGAAAGAGGGCTAGCACCCCAAACAGGTTTGCAAAAAGAGCAGGTCTCATCATTGCCTAGAGAAAAATTTCAGACATCAGTGAAAAGGGCCCAAGGAACCCCACCCTGGGGCTGCCAGTCTCCCCAAGGCCACTAACTCTCACCTTCTTAACTTTCTGCAGGTCGTGCTTCTCTTGTATCTGCTGCAAGACGCTGCACAAGGGGATGTCTTCGAAAGACTGTAACAGCTGCCAGGGGTTTGGAGCAGGAGGGCGAGAGGGGTTTGGAGCAGGAGGGCGAGAGGGGTTTGGAGCAGGAGGGCGAGAGGGGTTCAATGCAGGGAGGTCCAGCCCCCACAGCAGGCCTCCACCTCCTCCCAAGTCTCCCTTCAACTTCTGCCCAGAGGCCCTGGGTGCCTCTGAAACTGCTCAGCCCCTGAACAGTGCTGGTATGTGAACACCGCTGCTCAGGGGGAGCTCAGTCTTGCCTCCCTGCCTCAGGCCCACCCAGGCTTCGGAGTACCTCCTCTGGCTGACACTCCCACTCCACCTGCACGGCCTGCCCTGGGCTGCCCCCAAGGGGGTTCCTAAGGGACTGGGTCCTGAATGCCCTCCCAGCTGCCCACGAGCCTCAGGGGCAGCCTACAACCCGCGGAGTGCCCCTGGAGGGCAGAGAGCCCTGAACCCTGCAAAGGCGAGGTAACCCGCCCCAGAGCTCACTACGCCCAGTAGATGCGCCACGGGCACTGGGCGACCCACGTGCCCAGAGAGAAAACGTGCTCAGCCTCCCAGCCCACCTGCTTCTCCGCAGACGGGCTCAGACACTTCCGCGCCTCCACGCGGGGCGCCGAGCCTCAGCCAGAGGCCGCCCCGACCACCGCCCCGACCACCGCCCTCGCTCGCAGCTGAGCGTCCGCCCTCCCCGCTCCCCCGCTCTGCGCAGCACGGCTGCGCCCCTCCCCGGAGCCGCCCCCTCACCTGCGCCAGGGCCAGACTGTAGCAGGGCCGGGCGGTTTCTCGCCCGACCCCGAGCCCGGAGATCAGGCGCTTCAGGGCGTACTGCATCTCGGAACCCTGCCGAACCAAGCAGTGAGAACGGCCGCCCCGCACGGGCCTCCCGGGCCGCGACCGCGCGCCGCGAGCCCCAGCCCCGGGCCGCCGCCGCGCCCCCGCCGGAGGCACGCGCCCCCCGCCCCGCCGCGCCCCCCGCCCCGCCGGAGGCACGCGCCCCCCGCCCCGCCGCGCCCCCGCCCCGCACCTGAGGCCTCGCGCGCAGGTACTCCAGCAGTTTCTCCGTGGCCCCCAGCCGCGTCTCCTGCTCCGGCTTCGCGATGTCCCAGAAGAAGTCCAAGAACTCGCGGCTCTGCTTCAGCAGGCCCTCACGGTCGGCGGGCTGGGGGCCGCTCTTGGCCGCGCCCCCGGGGGACACAGACTCAGCCAGGCCCCGTCTCTCCATCTCCGCCATGCTCCGCGAACACGTGGGCTCTGAAGACAGCCTCTTCCGGGTCAGGTCGCGGCGCGTGCGCGCTGGGTAGGCCAGGGGCGGGGCCTTGCCGGGCAGGGGCGGGGCATAGCCGCCTGGGGCGGGGTCTGGGGCGGGGTCTGGGGCGGGGCCAGCCCCCGCCCCGGTGCAGTCACGGGGGGGCTATTACTTTTTTAAAATTATTTATTTATTTATTTATTTGAGAGAGAAAAACAGAGATAGCGACAGAGACAGCGAGAAGAGAGCATGAGCAGGGAGGAGACCGAGAAGCAGGCTCCCCGCTGAGCAGGGAGCCCGACGCGGGACCGATCCCAGGAACCTGGGATCAAGACCCCATCCGAAGGCAGACGCCCAGCTGTCGGAGCCACCCAGGTGCCTCTATTTATTTATTTTAAAGATTATCTTTTTTAGACAGGGGAGGGGCAAAGGGAGGGAGGGAGAGAGAGAGTCTCAAGCAGACTCCCGGATGAGCGGAGCCTGCACCTGGGTTCATCCCACGGCCCTGAGATCGCGACCTGAGCGGAAACCGAGAGTTGGACGCTTATCCCACGGAGCCACCCGGGAGCCCCTCACTCTGGGATTTTAGTATGAGCGCGGCTGGGAAGTTGGAGGGTTCTATGCATGGGCAAGTCTTGATCCTATTCACATCTTTAAGAGATTACTTGGCGCTGTGTGGGGCATGGATTGCGGGATCGCAGAGGGAGAAGCTCCAAGAATACTTCGGACCGTGGTGGGTTGGAGCGAGGTGAAATGAGCAGGTCGGAGCCCAGCTAATTTGGAGCTGGCTGGGGGGGTGATGGATGTGGGGGAGAAGGAAAGAGAGGGCTAACGTGACTGGGTCGATGGTGGCGCTGTTCACTGAGCTGGGGACGTGAGTTCTACGAAATCAGAGAGGACTTTTGCAATGGCAGGGAGCAGTGCTGCGGGTCACCCCTGCACCTGGACTGCAGAAGCTGTCTCTGGAGGGTTGTAATCCGGAGAGACCCCAGCCCTGGGGGACACGGGCGGTGGGCAATATCAGGACCGACACCCCCCCTTAAGTCCCATGCCCCCAGCTCCAGCTCCTTTGGGCCCCACTGCTCCTCCTGTCACCCCCTTCCTTGTTCTGCTGCTTTAGGAAGTGAGGTGCAGACGTGTACCTCATGTATATGGTGCCCCAGGAGCAGAGGGTGAGCAGAGCAGGGGAAGCTGGAAGACAGTGGCCCAGGCTCTGCCTCTCCGGGTGTGGGTCTGCTGTGCTGCCCAAGGGGGAGGCCACGACACCAAGCACCTCACAGGCTGGTGGGAAACTGGGAAGCAGGAATGTCACAGGAGATTGGATCTTTATTTTGTTTCCAGCTCAGCTGAGAGAGATCGGCAGAGAGTGGCCTGAAGGCGAAGACAGAGAGGCCAGCAGTACCCCAAGCTCTGCCTGCCCTGCCCGTGGAGCCTGGAGCCAAGGCAGGGGCTTGGCACTCTTCTGCCTGTCCTTCCCAGAGCTGGATCTGAACTTGGGGCTGGCCCCGGGTCCTGGGGCTCTTTCCCCAATACCCTCAGTTTCCTTAGCTGAGAAAAGAGCCAGATCTGGAGTCCAGGATGCTGACCAGGCCGGAGGTTGTGGGCCTGAGCTAGCAGTGACCGCATAACTCACGTGCACTGTCTATGCACTTCATCATTGTGGGGTCTGCTCTGCTCCTGCCTCCGGGCTTGAGGCCCCCACCCTCCCACCCCCTGCTAGACACGTCCCCCCACTTAGAACCCCTGGAAGGTGCAGCAGCTACTGGGGACACTGGAGACGTGGGCGTGCTCTGCCTGAGCAGCCACCTGGAGCAGGATCCCTTGGCCACAAACACTAGTGCTCGGTGTCGGTCCCTGCTGATGCTGGGGCTGGGCCTGGGTTTGGGGCACAGCCAGGTGACTGAGCAAGGCATGAGTCATGACTCTGGCCACTGCCGGGGTTCCCGAAGCCACCAGCCCCAACACATCAGCCTCTGTGTCATCCGCACTGCCATGGAGGATGAGAGGGCAGGCCCAGGCACTGGCTGTTGGCTTGGCCACCAGGTTGCTAAGTAGCACCCCAGTGCTCGGGGACAGGTGTCCGGAGCCAAAGGAGCTGTTGAGTGAGGAGGCGAGGAGGAGCACAGAGCCACTGCTGTCTATGGTGGCCAGGACACTGCCCACAGGGGTCACGGGAGCTTGCAGGGGCGCTGGGCAGGGGTCGGGGCTGGGCCCTCCGGAGCGCAGGGCTGCCTCCAGCACTGTCAGCAGCTCTGGACCAGCCGAGGGGCTGGGGGTGGTGGACAGGATGCCCTGGGGCACGGCTAGCTGCAGTGCAGCCTCCAGGGCGGGCGTGGGCCCCGATGAGGGCCCCTGCAGCCCCAGGTCTCTGACCAGCAGGCTCAGCAGGGCGTCCCCAGCAAGGTCTGGGGTGGGGGCAAGGGCTGCTCTGAGCAGGACAGCTGCCAGTTTGGGGTTGGTGGCTCGGGCCCCGGGGCCCAGGGGCGTCCCATCGGCGTGGCACAGTAGTGGACAGAGGCCCTTTGTGCCCCGGGCTGCCAGAGCCGCGGCCAGGGCTGTGTCCACCAGGAAGCCCTCTCGAGCCAGCGTGGCGGGGCCCACCAGCAGTCGCGGCCAGGGCAGGTGGCCAAAGTGCGTGTGCAGCAAGTGCAGGGTGGACAGAGCGGTCGGCAGCCCCAGGCCGGGGCCCAGGGTCTGGGCCGGGCCGGACGTCAGGGCAGTTGAACTGCGCGAGGTGCTGTTGTAGAAGAGACCCCAGAACATGGCACCTGGAGGAGACACAGGGGTCACACGGGACTCAGTGGCCCTGGGCCAGGGTCACTCAGGGCCACGCAGTGGCCCTGGGTGAAGGGCGCTGACTGCGGTCGGGAGTTACTCTCTGGGCCTAGAGATGGGGTCATTAAGTAGGCCCTGGGGTCAAGATCATGTGCACCGCGGAGCAGGGGCCACAGCCTAGGTCCTGCCACTGCGCGGCCTTGAGGTCAGGGCCCGAGTTCCAGGTCACGGAGCACGCCTGGGGTCGTGGGTCACTGACCTAGACCTGTGGCATGGGGGTGCACCACGGCCAGACACAAAGCTCCTCCCACTCCTGCGTCCACGACGTTGCCGCCCGCGGCAAGCAGCTCTCGGCCCAGGTGGGAGCAGGTGGCTACAGCCAGGAAGACACTGTTTGGGGAGTGGCCAGGGGCCAGGGCCCCGGGCCCTCCCCTCCCTGGAGCAGCCCCCCAGCTCTGACCTGCAGGGCTGACGATGGCACTGTGGTGGTACACGCCGGGGTGGTGGGGGTGCCCGCCGGGCCGGGCGGCTGCTGAGCCCAGGCTTGCCGTAGGGTCACCCCCGGTGTAGAGCTGCCTCGCGGCCAGGGAGAAGGCAACGGCCAGCAGCAGCAGGGCGGCCCCGAGGCGGGCCCAGACCCCGGGCAGCCCGCCAAACTTGTTCCTGCCGAGAGGGGTGTCCTGAGCCAGGGCCGGGGCAGGCGGACAACCAAGAGTCCCGAGAGAACCCAGCGAATACTTCCCCAAAGGTGTGGCCTTACTTGCGAGAGGGGTGCACGGTTGCCAAGGAGAAGGGCCTCCTGGCACAGCGTAGAGGAGACGTGGGGACTGGAAGGGGCTTGGGGAAACAGGACAGCCAGGGAGTGGGTCTCTGGGGAGAGGCAGGGCTGAGCCAGGAGGAGGGAGGCCTGAGGTGGACTTGGCCGGCTTGAGGAGCAGAGCCCAGCCGGGTGTAGCCAGGCTCCAACCTGCCCAGCAGGTGCCTCCTGCGCCAGGGGTGGGGGCTGGGGACCTTTGACAGAGTAGCCGGCACGCCTGGCTTGGGACGAACGTCCCTTCAGACACACAGACCTTGGACTGACTGGTGGAGACCAGGTCTGGGGCCGCAGTGCCGCTTCTCTCCATTCACCCAGAAAGTTCCCGGAGCTGAACCAAGCGTGGGGGTGTCCGCCCTCCGTCCCCACCTTGGGGGCTCTGGAGGGAGGGACCTGTCAGCCTCAGGCCTGAGGTGCCGGGTGCCCAGGCCCCTCCTTGACTCACCCCAAGGAGTCGTGGGGCCTCCGGGTGTCAGGAGCGACCAGCTCTGATGTCTCCTCCTCCTCGTCGTCCTCAGACCCCAAGCTGGGGTCCCAGAGAAGCAGCTTTTGGTAGAGCACCGGCCCTGCGGGCGGTTCCATGGCCCCGTGGTGCACACACCCGCTCTGCAGCCTGCCAGCCTCCCTGTGGAGTCCCAGCCTCACCTGCGCTTGGCTGGGGTGTGTGGAGGCAGCCTTGGGGAAGGGTGGTGTGGAATCTAGAACAGGTCTGGGCAGGGCGCGAGGCCAGGGAGTCTGCGTGCGAGGCTGCCCCATCAGGGCACAGGCCTGGGACTCTCAGGGCTGGGGAGCCTGGGACGGGGGTGCAGCTCCGTGAGGAAGGAGGAGCCCAGCCCCGGGGACCGCAGCCGCGAGCCTGAGACCCAGCCAGGACTCCCGCTGGTCCCCCACCCTCCGGGAAGGCAGCCATTAGATCCCCGACCTGTTCGGGACTCAGTGTGGCTTGGGTCAGGGCTCGGCATGTGACTAGGTGCCCATGTGGGCAAGCCCGGCCTTCTCTGTCTGGGGAGCAACCTGGAGGGTGGGGAAGGTGACTCCGGGGCACGTCCTGCAGCTCTTGCCAGCGGGTGGCACTGCAGACCTCCTGGGCCCACGGCCCCGACCCTGAGTCCCCGGCACCTGCTCGGTGGCGAGGTCTCACTGCCCAGAAGGCTGCTGTGGGACACGCCGTGGACCCCAGCCTCGGCGCGCTCGTCCCCCATGCCGACCCGTCTCCCCCATGACCACTCACACCTCCAGCTCCCCGGCCTCAAATCCTGACCCTCCGATGCGCCCCGGCGGATGACCCCACCTCCCATATCATGCAGCCACATCAAGGCCACCCCCACTGGGTTCTCTCCTCCCCACTGCAAGGGGAAAGCCATTCCCGGCCTCTGGTTCTGGCCCCAGCCCCTCCCGGCTCCTGCCTCTGGCTGGCCCAGGACCCCACAGCCTCACTGACCCCTTCTGTCCTGCAGCTTCATGATTTCCGTGCTGGTTCCTTGTCTACGACGTCCGGAGGGCAAGGGCACAGATACCCTCCTAAGTACGGGTACGCGGCCAGCCCCACGTCACGCTGCAGGACGCGGGCAGAGGCTCCTCAGGTGAGCGCGGAAATGCAGGTGCGTCTCCCCAGCAGTGACACGGGCCGGGGCCAGGTGGGACGACGCATTCTGTCTGCTGCTAGGGCCCAGAGATCGCAGGGCAGGTGGTGACTGGGGGAGGCGCGAGAGGGCCTCTGCGGTGCGGGTGAGGTTCTGTTTCTTAGTCTGATGTGGGTTTCCCGAATGTGCCGATTGTTGAAATGCATCCAGCTGTGCATTTATGACAGGCTCTTTTCTGGAAGTACGTTTTATTTCATTTATTTTTTTTAAAGCTCAAGTATTTTCTTTTCTTTTTTTTTTTTAAAGATTTTATTTATTTATTTGACAGAGAGAGAGAGAGCAAGAGCAGGAACACAAGCAGGGGGAGTGGGAGAGGGAGAAGCAGGCTTCCTGCCGAGCAGGGAGCCCGATGTGGGACTCGATCCCAGGACCCTGGGATCATGACCTGAGCCGAAGGCAGACGCTTAACGACGGAGCCACCCAGGCGCCCTAAAGCTCAAGTATTTTCTACATTGAAACAACAATCACAGAAATCGTCCAATGCTGCGTGGCTCTCCGCCCCTCCCCTTTCTCTTGGCCTCTTCACAAGCAGGTGGGGTGGTCTCCACTTCGGGTGCATTGGAATCACTCTGGGTATTTGTGAGATCCGAGTTCTGACTCTGCTTTCCTAACTCCCGGGTGATCCTGGGACCACAATTTGAGTAGCACTGACCCACAAAAAATCATGGACACCTGCTGCCTCCCACTTCCCCTCAGCTCACTCTAAGCTGGTTTCCGGGGTTTCTGATTTCTCGGCCCAATAAAAACTGAACCAACCATATGGAGATACCAGCAGAGGGTCGCCTCCTTTTTGTTTGCCAAGGGGATGTGTGTGTGGGAGGGGGTCACAAAGACCATCTGCTCTCATTTCATAAACCAGGCAAGGTTACAATCTCAGAATGAGGGTTGGTCCTTCCTTCCTAAAATCTTGTCCAGTTTCTGCCGTGGACTCACCACGTGGCTGTGGGTACGTGGCGTAGCTATGGGGAGTCTTGACGCCCCTTCCATAAAACAGGAGTGACAACATCTGTCCTCCCAGAGCTGAGGTGTGAATCAAACCAGGAGATTCGCTGAAAACCCTTAGGCTGGTGCCTGGTACACACTGGACACTCCAGAGACGTGCGTTCCTTCCTGGGACTGCAATTTATAGGAAGAGATCTAGGTTTCGTCATCCTGTTTCCGGCGCAGAGCTCCTAAGACCCTTGCAACTTCCTAAATGCTGAGAGACCTAAAGGTGCCTTTTGTCTGTTAATGAGGTGGCATTTGGACCCCACCTAAGGGGAGGCTGGAGGCCGGGAGAACTCCCAGTCCTCCCACTGACCAATGCGGACGGACGACTGACGGGCTGGAGGTCGAATCGATCACCAAAAGCCAGTGGTTTAATCGATGGTGTCTAAGTAATGAAGCGTCCACGAAAGCCAAAAAGAATAGGGTGAGCGCACGGGGGTGCTGGTGGATGGGGCTCCTGGAGGGGGCACGGCGGCCCTGCCCCTGCCCCACACCTCACCCTGGGCCTCCCTCCCACCTGCTGTCCCTGAGCTGTGCCCTTTATTATAAACCGGTGATCTAATGAGTAAATGAGTTTCCTGAGCTCTGCGAGCCACTCTAGCAGATTAACAGAACCTGAGGAGGGGGCACGGGAGCCTCTGATTCACAGCCATTTGGTCAGAAGTACTGGGAACAGGGCGCCTGGGTGGCTCAGTTGGTTAAGCGACTGCCTTCGGCTCCGGTCATGATCCTGGAGTCCCTGGATCGAGTCCCACATCAGGCTCCCTGCTCGGCGGGGAGCCTGCTTCTCCCTCTGACCCTCCCCCCTCTCATGCTCTCTCTATCTCATTCTCTCTCTCAAATAAATAAATACAAAATCTTAAAAAAAACCAGAAGTACTGGGAACAACGCACTTGCTACTGGGGTCTGAAGCAAGAGAGGGGACAGTCTTACCCGGGGGACTCTGACCCTATCTCCGGGTACGCAGGGTCAGAAATGAGTGGAGGCCAGGAGAACTCACTGGTGTCAGAAAACCCGCCCCCAGCCCCCACGGGAACTGGGTCCAGGAAGCAATTACTCCCTCTGTGCTTCAGGGCTTCAATCTCACGATGCTAAAGCGGTCTGGATAATTCACACCCAGCAACCCCACACACACATTCACTGGTGGCTCCCCCTCTGAGTGTAGGACTGAAGATGCATTCATTCCTCCTCCTAGTCTTGGGTGCACATTAGAATCCCCCGGTGAGCTAAAACGCTCCTAATATCCAGGCAGACCAATTAAATAATTAAGTCAGAATCCTTAGGTGGGTGATTCATCTGTATGTTTAAAAGGTTTCCCGTGGGGGACAGCTGCCTTATCTAGCCCTTTAGTGATTTTTGCAACAGGAACCACTCCGTCAATTTTCTTTTTGAGAGAGAGAGAGAGAGAGAGAGATCGAGCACAGGTATGTGCACCTGTGGCTGAGGGGGGGCGGGGCAGAGGGAGAGAGAGAGCAAATCTTAAGCAGGCTCTGAGCTGGGCTCGATCTCAGGACCCTGAGATCATGGCCGGAGCCGAAATCAAGCGTCGGACGCTTAACCCACTGAGCCACCCAGGTGCCCCTTTGTCAATTTTTTTTTAAGTTTTTATTTAAATTCCAGTTAGTTAACATACAGTGTAATATTAGTTTCGGGTGTAGCATTTAGTGATTCAACATTTCCATATATCACCCTGTGCTCTTCACACTCCGTCGATTTTTTAAAATACCACGATCCTGGTCTGCCCCTCCCCCACCAGCAAGCACCAGCTGACTCAGTATCTCTGGAGTGAGCCGCAGTCATCATGAGGCTTTGAAAGCTCCCCAGAGAACTGCTGCTGGAATTATGCCCCACAGACCCATTTCTCAGGCGTGCATGGGGACCTCCTCTGGGGCCTGGTTGTTCCCCAGTCCACAAAGCACATCCTGCAGGCTCTGGTTGCTCCATCCAACCAAAGGGGTCCCAGAGGCAAGGAAGGGTGTGGGGCCAGCGGCCAGCAGTCCTCCGGGCTCCTGAAGCTCCAGGGAAGGCTTTCCTGCTCAGCGTCCCTCCAGCTCAGGCCTGCCGGGTTGACTTTATAATTGACCCCCGGGACACGCTCAGATTTGACTCTGGTTACAGACTGGGAGGCAATGAGTAGAAGAACTGGCTTTTCCTCTCAAGGTGATTCTCTGTGAGGTGCCCAGAATATTGGTATTAAGAAAAAAAAAAAATTACTGCAGGTGATTCCAGTTGTAGGAACCACTGAAAATGGTTTTGAACAAGTCAGGAACAACCTGAACAGAGAGAGGAAGCAGTGTTAGAATGAGTGTATGCCATTTGCCATAGTAATTGTGCACATGGGAAATGAAATAGTCATGTCTTTCTGGGATTATTAAATGCTGGCGCGAAGCTAATAATTTCTGAATGCCACTGTGGTCTACAAGTCGGATGGGGACAACGATGGTGTTTGGTGTTGGTCTCAGCCTGTCAACCAGCAATGCTGCGGCTGGACCGGCCTTTGTGGATCTTACCATATTGTGAGACACCCTTCAATAACCATCAGAAAACTGCAGGAACAGGGGCACCTGGTTGGCTCAGTTGGTGAAGCGTCTGCCTTTGTCCCGGGTCATGATCTCCGGTTCCTGGGATGGAGCCCCGTATTGGGCTCCCTGCTCAACAGAGTCTGCTTCTCTCCCTCTCTCTCTCTCCCTCCCTCTGCCCTCCCTACTGCTCGTTCTCTCTCTCAAATAAATAAATAAAATCTTAAAAAAGAAAGAAAACTGTAGAAACAAAGGTCTATTACGTACAGGACCTGGAAATTACATAGCACACCTGGGCCACACAGTGAGGGGGTCTGAGCTTCTGTTTTTTTGGGGTTGAGGATGGGGCGGCTCACTCTTTATTGGTGAATTTAAAACATAACAGTGAGAACTTAAAATGCAGGCGAGAAAAGACTAGTGGCCCAAACGGTCAATTATTGAAATCAACCAAGATCTCTAAAACGAAGGAGCAGTTTGCTCTGCGGGGATAGCCCATAACCACCCCTGAACTGAACACAGGGCGAGCCCGTGTGTTTTCTGGACAGTCTCTGTCAGCAAACATTCCTAGGTCACTTCAAGTTACAAAAGTCTCGTTTCAGTAATTGCAATGAAGAAAGCCATCCAGGTTGGCGAAATGCATGGAGACAAAGGAGGATAGTGGTTGCCAGGGGTGGGGGTGCTGTGGGGAGTTTGTGTTAGTGGGCAAGGGGCTTCGGTCAGGGATGATGAAGTTTCTGGAGAAGGATGCACGGTGGTGTAAGTGAACTTGGTGCCGCTGAATTGTACATTTAACAACGGCTAGGGCGCCTGGGTGGCTCCATTGGTTAAGCGACTGCCTTCGGCTCAGGTCATGATCCTGGAGTCCCGGGATTGAGTCCCACATCGGGCTCCCTGCTCGGCGGGGAGTCTGCATCTCCCTCTGACCCTCCCCCCTCTCCTGCTCTCTGTCTCTCATTCTCTCTTTCTCAAATAAATAAATAAATAAATAAATAAATAAAACAATAGCTAACATGGTAAATTTTATGTTAGGTATATTTTACCATAATGAAAAATGCAAAAAAAGTACAAGGCCTCCCCCCCCCCCCCCGCAAAAAAATAAAACCAAAAACCTCTCCCTTGCACCTTCTCGGTCTGTTTTGGGTTAAGCCTCCGGCAACAGGAAAAAAGGCGTGTGCACGAGGCAGTGTGTGTGTGATCGACCCCTTCCAGACTTGCCTGCCGGCTGCGGCACCCCGACATCCTCCTCCTCACCCACTAGACTGATGCTGGTTCCTTCAGGTCGAGGTGGGGGAGAGGGGCAAGCAAGGTCTTCCAACCAGCACCGCCTGAGCCGGCGCGCAGCCTCTCTGGGCTTGCGGTGTGTACGAAGCTGACTCATCTATAGTGGGGCTCTTTTGCAAGCTCTTCCCAAGCCCCGCAGCCGGAACCAGACCCGGGCCCCTCGCCCACAACCCCTTGGCTTCCGCAGGTAGCTGAGCCTCATGCGCTCCCGGCTGCAGGCGCCCGGTCCCTGGCTGTCAGGATCTCACCTCCCGCCAGGGGGCGCGCGCGGGCAGGCTTCAGGGGCGCCCGGAGTCTGGTCTGCGCACCTGTCCCGGGCGGCCGGCGCCCGGCCCTTCTCCCCATAGATTTAGGGGTACCAGCTTCCGGCGCAGTGAACTGCCTTCACTTTGCTCTCGAAACCGCCGTTGGCCAGCAAGTCTGCCATGCATTCCGTTTTAAAAATCAGATTTTTTGAGATATAATGTATATAAAGTAAAATTCACCCATTTTAATGTATACAGCCATTTACCAACACCGCAATCAAGATAAAGAACGTCTACATCACCCAAAAAGTTTCCTTGTGCCCCTTGGCCTCACCTTTTACCTCTGGCCCTCGGCAACCACCAAGCTGATTTCTATCCCCGTGCGTTTGCCTTTACCAAAGGACTCCTGTTTTGAGGATTTACATGTTATCAGTGGAATCATACAATATATCATTGTTCATATCTGACTCCTTTCCCATAGGGTAAAGCCTTTGAGAAGCCTCCAAGTTGTTGCATGTGTTCCTATTTTTTCTTTTTTACCATGAGCAGTGTTCATTGTATCTATATACAACAATGTATTTACTCATCAGTGGAGATGGGGTTGTTTCCGTTGTTTTATTATTATGAATATAGCTACTATAAACACTTCTGTGCAAGTGTTTGAGCACATGTTTTCATCCCTCTTTTTAAAAAAAATTTTCAAAGATTTTATTTATTTATTAGAGAGACAGAGAGAGAGAGAGCATGAGCAGGGGGAGGGGCAGAGAGAGAAGCAAACTTCCCAATGAGCAGGGAGCGCTACACGGGGCTCGATCCCAGGACATCCATCCCAGGACCTCGGGATCATGACCTGAGCCGAAGGCAGGTGCTTAACCCACTGAGCCACCCAGGCGCCCCAGTTTTAGCTGTAGTTTTATTTAGGTCTATGATTCATTTTGAATTGATTTTGGGGAATGACATGAGGTACAGACCAAAGTTCATTTTAATTTTGCATATAGATATCCAATTATTCCAATGCCCCTTGTGAAAAAGACTGTCGTCTTCCTAGTTTTCAACCCTTGTTGCAAATCAATGGACTACATGTATATAAGCCGATTTCTGGACTCTCTTCTTGCTCATAATTAGCCCTGGTCTGCGGATACCTCATCTTTCCTACACAATGAGAACACTATCTTGATTATATAGCTTTATAATAAGTCTCAAAATCAAGTAGTTTGGGACCTCCAGGGTAGTTTTTCTTTTTTCTTTTTTTTTTTTTAAGATTTTATTTATTTATTCATGAGAGACAGAGGCAGAGGGAGAAGCAGGCTCCCCGCGGAGCAGAGAGCCCGATGCGGGACTCAATCCCAGGACCCTGGGATCATGACCTGAGCCGAAGGCAGACGCTTAACCGACTGAGCCACCCAGGTGTCCCGTAGTTTTTCTTTTTTAAAAGAATTTTTGACTAGCATTTAGAACTGATTTTGTAGTTTTTTGGAAAGAAAGCCTATAGTGGTTTTGATTGGGGTGATGATACTCTATAGACCCACCTGGAGTGAACTGACAACAATATTGATTCTTATGATTCATGAACCAGTGTATTTCGCCATTTGTTCAGGACTTTTAAAATTTATCCCTG